GAATTTAATAAAGTATGTGTAATGACTTGAATGTTGGCTTCAACGTCTGAAAAAACTTACTTTATCCAAAAAAAAACATCTAAAAAAGTTTTAAAATAATTGTTTTATCACTTCTTCATCCTAATTCAAAATATACACCAAATCATGCTCATTTTAATTATCTTTTTTTTTGTTTTTTCAGAAGAATAAGAATTAAAAATAGTGGAAGAACATGAGCTATATAAATATAACACATGAAAAAAATTCATTTAGTAAATTTAGAGGTAGAAGATGAAGATCTAAGAGGACTACAATTTTAGTCGAACACTATTGGCAATGTTTAAATATGAAACAAAGTTTTTCTAATTATTTTGATACTTAGAAAATTAGAAAATATTTCATCCGCGTATTACGCGGGGAATCACCTAGTTGAAATATTGAATTATTAGCTAGGTTTGTGCGAAAATAATTAACAATGAAATCTAACCATAATTAGGAAAACCCCTTTTGCAAGAGAATATTAAACTTAATTAGATTATGTAATTTTTTGCATTAATTAGGTTATATTGTTTATAAATAAATAAAGGAGAGAAAGAATATCTTCACAAACAAGAAAGGTGACGAGTGAGATGGAGTGTCGTTTTTGAAACTCATTTTCTTTTTCTAACCATTTGATTTTTTTGCCAAATTTTAATAATTTTATATGTGCACATATATTTCATATGTCATAACATAATCTTGACTAACCTTTTAACAGATTATACAAAAATAACCCAAGAAAAAGGTCGTGTGGATTACTTAATTAGATGAATCATTTTTTAACATATTATATAAATATATATAATCCAAGAACAATGGCTAGATCTCCTTGGAAAACGTGAAGTTAAGCCCTTATATATATGCATATAAGTGTAGGTAGAATTTATTTATAGAATAAAAGATTGAAGAAAAAGGTTAGATCCTAAACTATCTTTATATATGTTGGACCAACTTGGTATAGTAACTAAATAAAAAAAAATGGTGTAACAAAATGGCCATATCTTCACGCACAGAACAAAACTCTCGTGTTTAGCAAGTAACCTATCCCCAAAATTCTCATTTTCTCTCCTTGACAACAGATTCCTCACCAAAAGTTATTACATTATATTTTCTTTTTTTCAATCTTGTTTTAAGGTATCAATAATATTTAATTTCTTACTACACATAAATTTTGTGAGAAGATCTATAAATCCTAAGTATGGAATAATTCCCATCGATAAAATTATGTTTATGGAGTCAAATGAAAATGATATGATACTCAATTTGTCTACAGAACTTGACCGTACACATGAGCCCTCAATGGAGATGCGAAGCTTCTTTGATAAGAAACTTATAATTCAGGC